TCTTTATCTAAATCATTTGACACCCTCATCACCTTACTCTTTTCTCTGTTCACTTTCAACTTTCTACCTTTACACACATTCCCAAACTCATCCACTAACCTTTGCAATTTTTCTTTAGAATCTCCCATAAGCACAGTATCATCAGCAAAAAGTAACTGTGTCAATTCCCATTTTGAATTTGATTCCCATAATTTATATATATATATATATATATTATATATATATATATATATTATATATATATATATATATATATATATATATATATATATATATATATATTATTTTCAACAAGTTGGTCGTCTCCCACCGAGGCAGGGTGACCCAAAAAAGAAAGAAAATCCCCAAAAAGAAAATACTTTCATCATCATTCAACACTTTCACCACACTCGCACATTATCACTGTTTTTGCAGAGGTGCTCAGAATACAACAGTCTAGAAGCATACACATATAAAGATACACAACATATCCCTCCAAACTGCCAATATTTTATATATACTCTGATAATTATACTTATGTATACCTGTACTTAAATAAACTTACATACTGTGCTGGCATGCAGGTACGCATTAAAATCAGTAAGAGTGTCTTTTGTCTCCAGACGTCATATTAGTAATGATGATAATAATCATCGAGTCTCATTTAAATGTCGTATATTACGTTAATATACACATTTTCATTAATCCATCTATGATATTTTTTCAAAATTATATAATAAACACGATGCATAACATATAAATAAGATAAATACACCCCACAGTAGAATAAATAAACATAAATGTGAGATGTGGTAGCAAACGACTTGCACAAGTGACGCCATATTAGAGATGATAATAATAATAATAATCACCGAGTCTCATTAAATGTCGTATATTACGTTAATATACACATTTTCATTAATCCATCCATGATATTTTTTTCAAAATTATATAATAAACACGATACATAACATAAAAAGATGATAAATACACCCTACAATAGAATAAATAAACATAAATATGAGATGTGGTAGCCAGATAACTTGTACAAGTGACGGCAAGAATAACATTTACTCTAATCTAACATAAGAGAAAATGTGTTACTGTGGGTAACTGTAGAAAATTATTCCTTTCGTATGTATGTAAGTTTATTCAGGTATACACAAATACAGTTACATAGATTATCATACATAACAACATATGTGTAGAGAACCTAGGATAACCCAAAAAAGTCAGAGTGACTTATTTCCATTGCCTTCACTCAGAGCATCATTTCTTCTCAAAATGATGTTACATGAGAATGGGAGTGTTCTTCTTTATTTATTCTACCGTATCAATGTAGAGACAACCTGTACACAATGTAACTTGTACACAAACCAGACGTGTACACTTCGTTTACAAAACTTACCTTCGCCTGGTTTGTTTACATAACTCTGCGCCTGTACTCTCTCATGCACTCATTCTTTCTCTCTCTCATTTATTCGTTTTATCTCATTTACTTACTCGTGACCCTACATTAAGACTACAAATATTTTAAGGTAAGTAATGAGTGAACTGTATATACATTTTATCGCTCTGGGATGCTTAAATATCATAGAATAGTATGTGTGGGTGGGTTGGCCTGGTATGGTAGCCCGGCTGACTACCATACATACCACACTTGATTTTTTACAATAAATACTACTCATCTCACCCTATATTTTAAGGTAAGTAATGAGTGAACTGTATATACATTTTATCGCTCTGGGATGTCTAAATATCATAGAATAGTATGTGTGGGTGGGGTGGCCTGGTATAGTAGCCTGGCTGACTACCATACATACCACACTTGATTTCTTACAATAAATACTGCTTGTCTCACCCTAGATTAAGACTATAAATATTTTAAGGTAAGTAATGAGTGCACTATGTGTGTATTGTACTTTTTTATTGTTTTTTGATGCCTGGTTCTATTGCTAACTTAATATATGTTAGTGTAAACTTGTTATCTAGTGTTTGTATGCATTTATAAGTGGAAAAAAAGGGTGTTCCACTTTACAGCGGTTTCTGCTTTACGGCGGTAGCCTGGAACCTAACCTGCCATATAAGTGGGGCCCTGCTGTATTAATAATTCCGAAACACTGGCTTGTAAGATGTATATATACGACCAAAACAGTCAAAGGGTTAAAGTCCATGCCTCACAACCATAAAAAAAATTTATCTGTATCATTATACTCTAGTACATTTTCCCTTTACTGTCTCCATAGATAAATATTTTTTCCACACAAGTTTCAAAACACCACCTACCCTTTTCTCTTGTCTATTCTATGGCTCACCTCATTTTTCACTGGCCCATTTGCTGATGTGGCCACTCCAAAATACCTGAATATATTCACTTTCTTCATACTGCCTCTCTCAAATCTGCTACCCAGTCTTTCATTTTCTACACTTTTTTGTTGCTTTCATCACTTTCCTCTTGTCTATGTTCACTTTTAATTTCTTTCTTTTACATACCCTATCAAATTTCTCCACCAACCTTTGCAACTTTTCTTCAGATTCCCTAAAAAGAACTGTGTTACTGGCAATTAGCAACTGCAACAATTCCTACCTTGAATCACACCTCTCCCTAAAATCTTAACATTCACCTCTTTCACTATCCACCTAAAAATCTATAAAACAACCATGATGACATCACATATTCCTGTCTAATGACTACTTTTACTGGGAAATAGTTCTCCCCTCTACTACAAATCTTAATTTAGCCTGAACCTTACTATCCCCACCCACCTCTTCCATACATATACAACATCTTTCCTAGTTACCCTATCATATACCTTTTAAAAATCCACAAATGCAATAAACAGTTCTTTACTTTCATCTGGGCATTATTCACTTAAATGTTTCAATGTAAACACTTGGTTTCTACATTAAAAACTATGCACAATAGATCCCCTACTTATGACGCTAATGCATTCCTGACAATCACTTATTACTCTGGTGTTTGGAACCTATCACCTATTTTCACATAGACACCCACATTATGATTCAAGATGCATTCTCCTATCATAATATAGTATTTTATATTTCATTTAATATTCTAAGCAAAATTAAAATCAATATACATAACTCAGAGGAGTCCCTTTCTCTTCGCTTTCCTCTCTTCTCCCCCTTCTATTCTCTAATCACTCTGCCTTTCTTCCACTACATCCCTTCCACCCTCTCTTACCTGACATCCAGCATAACACTGCATGGGCAACAGCAAAGAGGCTGCCTCCCTTACTCACACTCTCACATGCTTCTGATGCAATACTGCATGGGCAGCAATAATGAGACTGCTTTCATTAATCTCACTCTTGCATTCCCTTACCCTAACTCTAATATCACATCTGGAACAACACTGCACTGACATCAGCAATGAGACTACCTCCCTTACTCTCTCTCTCTCACATGCTTCTGGCACAAAACTGCACAAGCAGCAGCAGCAGCAACAAAACTGCCTTTCTCCTTACTCTGTCTCTCACATCACTTCTGGCACACACTTCTATACAAGTAGCAGTAACAAGACTGCCTTCCACTCTCCTACTCTCCCTTACATTACATCTGACAAAATACTGCAAAGAAACAGCAGTAAGACTGCCTCCCTCTCTCCCACTCTTTCTCTTTCTCTCTCTCCCCCTCTCCCTTTTTCTCTCCCACACTGATTCTGACACACTACTAAAAGCAGTAGCAAAAAAGTTGTCTCCCTAAATCTCTTTTGCCAAATAGACTTCTTGACATGAAAGACTGCCCTCACTTCCAGAGATGTTTGGACAGTTAATGGGTTAATCAATCTTTAACAAGCAGATGTGAGCCCACCACACTGGGATAAACCGAACAAACAGAAAAAAGCTTAAATAAAATTGTAGTTACTAAATTTCTAGTTTTTAACCACTCTGTTAAATAAATATGAAACCTCCACACATGCACAAAATGAACACATGCAAAATATGAATGCATTTGCTGAAACAATAGCCAAGAATTTATTTTACTGAAAAATATCTCTGAATATTTGCAGTGATTGTATCTGCAGAATGGCATTCATAAGCAAACAATTGTTTTATAAGTATCCCAATCATAAGTCAGGAACCTAGTGTAGATAAAATATAAAAGGCCCAGACACATTATTCAGAATGATTCAAAGATCTTAAATAAAAAGTTACAAAGAAAACTGAAAATGTCCATGTTGGCTGATTGGAAGAGAAATGGAGACATGAAAACCATACACAACTAATTCACAAAGATGAAACAAGACAACATTTTAGTCTATCCATGACCACTATTTTGTTGTGAGGAAGAGGACAAGAAAAGCCCAAAAGTCACATCAAGCAGAAAACAGCCAAAGTCATGTAAAGCCCTAAGTGTTCTAAAGATTAAAGCATTTGACAGTGTACTGGGAAAGACGAGTATCTACACAAATACATCTAGGGCTAAGATTCATGTCAGAGGTGTTGGATATTAATATTAGGCTAAAGAGATAGATACTGCAATTTTTGAAGATGAGCAGCTCACTGAAATTGGAATGGTCAGTAACTTGTGTTGTCAGTGTCAACAAGGTAGTCCATAAAATCATCTCGAGTCATCTCCAATCTGTGAAGAAAAATAACACTCCTCACAGAAATATGATATCCTGCTTTCACTGATCCATTCAGTGTAAAGATTATATCTACATATTTAATCCTTAAACTGCCCAAACAGATCTACGTTCACATGCGTAGTGCTCCAAAAGTAGATCTACATTTTTTACATATTTTCAAATATATCAAAAAAAAAAAAAAGTAGATCAAAGTTTTTTACACGTTTTCAAATGTAAAAAAAAGAAAAAAGATCTATATTTTTTTACATACTTTCAAATGTTGAAAAAAACATAGATCTACGTTTAGACAGTTTAAGGGTTAACTGTACAGTACTGTACTATACTTCCAATTAACATTTACTGTACAATATAAATGTTCACAGTTATTTATTATGACATAACATCAACTAAGAGATTCTGTATAACATACCTTCCTTATACCAATGCTGATATTTTTAAGTTGAGTTGTGATGGACAAACTGAAGTGTCCATCCTCCCAGTATATAGCATCAACAGTCACTTGTCGGCCATCTATATAGTGGAGCAAGATCTTCAGAGGTATAGAATCAACTGTTCCTTTCACGTGAAGCTTTAGTTCTTTCCCAGTAAAAATTCCCTAGATAAAAAAAATGTAAATGAAAGGTATACAGAACAGAACTTATGTAAGAAAGTTTACCTCAAGCAGATGATTTGCATTTCCTAAGGCATATTAAAAGGGGAGAAATAAATGGGATTAGGTCAGGGGTTTCAAATAGAGTTAGAGCTAAAGGAGCAGCAATAATGTTGAAGGTTAAGTTATGGCAGGAAAAGAGGTAATATAAATGTATTAATTCAAGGATTATGTGGAGTAAAATAAGGGTTGGATGTGAAAAGTGGGTTATAGTAAGCATTTATGCACTTGGAGAAGAGACAAGTGTAAAGGATAGAGGGAGATTTTGGGAAATGTTCAGTGAGTGCATGGGGAGGTTTGAACCAAGTGAGAGAGTACTTGTTAAAGTGGATAAAAATGTTCTGGAGGGAGTAGTACATAAATTTGGGGTGTCAGGGGTAAATGAAAATGGGGAGCCTTCAATTCAGCTATGTACAGAAAGAGGTTTGGTAATAAGTAATGCATATTTTATGAAAAAGAGTATAAATAAATATACAAGGTATGAGAGAGCAGGTAATGAAGTAGTTTGTTAGATTATGTATTGGTGGATAAAAGGTTGATGGGAAGGCATATTTATAGAGGGGCAACAGATATATCAGATCATTATTTAGTTGTAGCTACAGTTAGAGTAAGAGGTAGACGGGACAAAAGAAAAATGTCAACAATATGTAAGAGAGAGGTGAAAGTGTATAAACTAAGGGAGGAGGAAGTTAGAGCGAGATATAAGCAACTACTGGTAGAAAGGTGGGCTAATGCAAGTATGAATAGTGGGGGGGGGGTGAAGATTGTTAGAATAGTTTTAAAAACGCAGTACAGTAAGGCCCTGCTCTATGGCGTTTCGCCTTATGGCATTCCGCTAATACAGCAATGTCAGATTATGACCAAAATTTGCTATACGGCAAGCGTTCTTTTAAATACGGCGCCCCCCACCCGGTTTGTTTACATTTTCTGTGACCACATCTATTATGTCAGGAAACTTTCCAAAATTTCAAGCGTTTTAAAGTTACTACATATTTTATATGTACTCTGATAATTATACTTATGTGTACCTGTACCTAAATATACTTACACACTGTGCTGGTGTGCAGGTACACATTAAAATCGCTTAGTCTCTCTCTACTCATGACGCCAATACTACGTAATAATAATCACTCTTGGGCACACTAAATGTCTTATTTTACATCAATATAGGCATTTTCATTAATCCATCTATGATATTTTCCTCAAAATTATATATGAAACCCATTACATAGCATATAAACATGATACATACACTCAGAATAAAAACTGACGTAAATATGAGATTTGTTTACAAAGCAGCTGTGTAGATAGGGTCGGAAGAATTAAGTTTTCTAGTCAAACACTGGGGGGTAACTGTAGAAAAAATTCTTTTCGTATGCCTTTACTCTTTGTATAGCAATTCACGCCCCTTATGGGTTTAGTGCTTTTTATAATAAATAATAACAATAAAAATAATATTAATTATTATTATTATTTATTATTATTATTATTATTATTTTAAAAATTAATAATATTAATAATAATTTTTATTAATTTTATTATATATTATTTTCATTCACTCTAAAAATGGTTGTGTTGCTGTTTGTTTTTTCTGAGCTAACTTGTACAACTTGTACACAATGTAAGAGTATTTGTATTGTGAGGTAATTATTACTATAATAAAAAAAATATTGAGGTAAATGTTTTAAAACTCTTACAAATAGACGTGAATGAACTAAAAGTAGACACATTTTAAAATATGCATTTATTTCGCTGCCCAAAGTGACGTCCACTACCGTTCAGTTTGTGTTCTTACATTGTCTAAACTCTGTATCTCGTTCTCTCTCTCGCTTACTTTTTCTTAACTAGTTGGCTCTCATTGACGATGGCGTCTAAGGTTAGCTGTAATAAAAAGAGAAGTCGTAAGCTTTTTGCTTTAATGCCAAGGTAGATGATGATGGTGTGCCATTTTGATGTTATTCAATAAACACCCTGCCACTCACCTCTACACATTAATATTAATATTTTAAGGTAAGTAAAAAGTGTACTCTGTGTGTATCTTACCTTTTATTGTGTTTTTAATGCCTATTTCTATTGCTAACTTATATAAGTTAGTGCAAACTTGTTGTCTGGCATTTATTGATATTTTATATGCTCTGATAATAATACTTGTGGAGCCGGGTGGAGGGACAACATTACGTTTTTCTCTGCTCAGCCATCAGAGGAAAACGTGTATGAATCTGCGTTTGGCCAGCCACTCCCTCACTCCGCTTTGTTTACAGTTTTCGGCATGAATTTTCATTACTTCTACCTTCTTTTATGATGGATCTAAAGGTAGTTGTTAGAAATGATTAAATTCAGTGAACAAGGCATGTCGATGTTAATAATATGGCTCTGGGCCACAGTGTAGGTAGCCGGTAGGTGTAGCCAGGGGGGCTACACCTACCTACCTACCTGCTTTATACAAATAAATACTACTCACCTCTCTTACTATATTAAGACTACACATATTTTAAGTAAATAATGAGTGTATTGTGTGTGCATTTTACCTCTCTGGGATGTTTTAAATTTTTTTATTATTATTATCACACTGGCTGATTCCCACCATGGCAGGGTGGCCCGAAAAAGAAAAACTTTTCACCATCATTCACTCCACACTGTCTTGCCAGAAGGGTGCTTTACACTACAGTGTTTAAAAATGCAACATTAACACCCTCCTTCAGAGTGCGGCACTGTATTCCCCTCTCCAGGACTCAAGTCCGGCCTGCGGTTTCCTGAACCCCTTCATAAATGTACTTTGCTCACACTCCAAAAAGCACGTCAAGTATTAAAAACAATTTGTCTCCATTCACTCCTATCAAACACGCTCATGCATGCCCGTTGGAAGTCCAAGCCCCTCGCACCACAAAACCTCCTTTACCCCCTTCCCAACCTTTCCTGGCTGACCCCTACCCCGCCTTTTCCCTTTAATACAGATGATCACTCTTGAAGTCATTCTGTTTTGCTCCATTCTTTTACATGTCCGAAAACCCCCACAACAACCCTTCCTCAGCCCTCTGGACAACAGTTTTGGTAACCCGCACCTCCTCCTAACTTCCAAATCGAATTCTCTCATTATATTACACCACCCATTGCTCTCAGGGCTGACATCTCCACTGCCTCCAGCCCTTCTCCTTGCTTCAACATTCCTCCCATGCTTCACACCCATATAAGAGCCTTGGTTAAAAACTATACTCTCATACATTCCCTCTTTGGCCTCCAAGGGCAAAGTTCTTTGTCCCCAGACTCCTAAGGCACCCACTCCCCTTTTCCCCTCACAAATTCTTTGATTCACCTCATCTTTATAGACCATCCGCTGACACGTCCCTCCCAAATATCTGAATAATTTACCTCCTCCATACTCTCTCCCTCCAATCTGATATTCAATCTTTCATCATCTAATCTTTTTGTTATCCTCATAACCTTACTCTTTCCTGTATTCAAACCCTTTTAAATTTTTTTCTTTTGCACACCCTACCAAATTCATCCACAATCTCTGCAACTTCTCTTCAGAATCTCCCAAGAGCACGTGTCTCAGCAAGAGCAGCTGTGAACAACTCCCACTTTGGTGTGATTCTTTATCTTTTAACTCCACGCCTCTTGCCAAGACCCCCGCATTTACTTCTCTTACAACCCCATCTATAAATATATTAAAACCATGGTGACATCACACATCCTTGTCTAAGGCCTACTTTTATGGGAAATTAATTTCCCCTTTCCTACATACTTAACTTGAGCCTCATATCCTCGTAAAAACTCTTCCCCTGCTTTCAGTAAACCCACCTCTACACCATACACTTGCAACATCTGCCACATTGCCCCCCTATCCACCCTGTCATACGCCTTTTCCAAATCCATAAATGCCACAAAGACCCCTTTAGCCCTTTTCTAAATACTGTTCACAGGTTTTTACAAAGCAGAAATGTTATAAGAAGAGCAAGTAATGGAGAGTAAAAGAAAAGGTTAAGAGAGTGGTGAGAGAGTGCAAAAGGAGAGCATTTATAGAGTGGAGAGGCACTGTCAAGAATTTTAATGAAAAAGAAAAATTTTGGAGTGAGTTTTTAACAAGTTTTGAAAGCTAGAAATATGGATTTGTCAGTTAAAAACAGAGTAGGGAGTTATTAATGGGAGATGGGTATTGGTAGATGGCGGAATATTTTAGGAACTTTAATGTTAAGGAAGAAACAGAGGCAGTAATTTCATGCACTGGTCAGGAGGTTACCATCTTTTGGAGTGAAGAAGAGCGAATGTAAGTGTGGGGGAGGTACGTGACATTACGTAAAATGAAAAAGGGGTAAAAGCAGCTGAACTGATGAAAGCCTGACAAAATTTAAAAACAGGGGGGGATATAGTGTTGGAGTTTTGGTTGTACTTTTTTATAAATGTATGAAAGAGGGGAAGTACTAGGATTGCAAGAGCATTTATAGTCCCTTTATATAAAGGGAAAGGGACAAAAGGACTGTAAAAATTATAAGAAAAACTTCTATATACCAAAAATTACTTGGTTATAATTGAAAAATTTTTAATAAACAATTAATTTCTTTGAGCCCCAAGGTAAATTTTAATTATTGATGATTATATGTTTTACATTAACAATAGTGACAATATTTAATAAAAATAAATTTTTATTTCATTTATATTTAGAAAACATATGATAATGATAAGGAGCAATGTGGCAATTTCAAGTATATGAATAGTTTAATTTTTTTTAAATGCTTAAAATTTTTTTATCCATATAAGCTCAGGTTAGGGTTTTGGGAGAGAAAGATTTTTTCCGTAAAAGTATTCTTACAAAAAATTTATCTCCCCATTTTTTAATATATTAATAGATGGGTTGTAAAGGGAAGTAAATCTATTTTGGAGAGGGGTGGTTAAATTATGGGGAACAAACCCAAAATGGGTTGGCAAGTTACTTTTTGGAGGGGAAA